CTCTCTCTCTCTCTCTCTCTCTCTATGGTTCACACTATTAAAAGAAGTGTCAAGAATTGTCTGTATAAGCAACAATTGTGAGGAAACTGTTTCCTATCTCCTCTGTGGATTATGTACTTACCGCTAAATTGCTTCTTTATCTTTGCTACTGTCTCTCTGGAGATGACATTTTTTTTCCCCCCCATCTCTAAATCTGTTTGTCTTTTTCCGTGTTTGTTCTATGGCTGCCAGTTATTCTATTATCAGTTTGCCTGTGTCTAACCCTGTGTCTGTCCATTAATCTGGCACTTCCTGTCCATTTGTTTCTCCTCTTACACTACACAACCCCACAGCAACTTCTCAGCTTTGCAAGCAGCTCCTCAACTCTTGCATATTTCAGTTACAGAGTGATTGATTGGTTCTGCGTGGCCCATCTGGAGACTCAAGCAGCGAGAGGGCCATGGGGCAACTATAGAAGGAGCTCTATGCATGAAGACACTCTTTTTGAATATTCAATGAAATAGTTTTGAAATGAAAAGTGTCCATCTACAATAATTCCAGTATTGCTAAATTAAACATGTAATTGTTTCCGATAGTGGTGCCTTGCCAAACAGGAAGTACAGCTGGAAAGTGACCCATCCCTGCTGCGTTTGCCTGTGGGTGCAGGTGCTCTCCTGGTGTCTCCTGAGACACACCAGTTAATTAATACCACTCGAGTGTGTCAAGAGCAAGGAAGGAAAACTGCTGCTGTTGGCAGAAATGATGGAGTGACTTTTTTTTTTTTTGCATTTAAACTTAATTTGACCTCAAAAACAGAATAAACTTTTCATGTCTGCAGTATTTTGGTGAGCATTTGCAGAATATTGGGTAGAACAAACATCCACACAACAACTGCATAGACATGCACATACTGGATTTGTTCCTTTACATTACTTAGGTGTGTGATGTAACTGTAACTAAAAGGTGTCAATTTGTGGTGTTCATTGTGTGCTTGCAAGTGTGTCTCTCTCTCTTACGGTACAGTTTCAGTTAGATTTGTTAAATCTTTCTAAACAATATTGTGTTACTTTTGAAATCCACTTGAGAGTAAAGAAGAGGCGATAAAACTAAGAGTTCATGAGGTGGCTCACGGTAATAAGCTTAACGAGCAGCGGTGGGCGGTTTGCAGACTTAGATTGCCCCAGGTTTCACCTTTCAGACTGCATACACGCTACCGACTTACTCTCCGAGGGGCAGAGGTTGTGCCTGCAGACTGAGAAGCCACTAACTGCTCAGTGCAGAAAAATACTGCAACCACCTCTGCATTTTTTTTGCTTTAAAATAACAGTAATTTAATCTATCTTTCTTTTTTACGTTCAATATTCTCCCAATCAATATTCTACAATAGAATTGAACACCAATCAAAAATGAAATGTTAGATATTGCAGTAAAGAACAGTGGTGTTTTTAAAGATGCACATTAGCAGTATCTCAGCGGCTGAATATTCTTTGGACTCTGTGACATTTCTTTCCTTAAGAAACAACAGAGTTACACCGTATAATCCTCTGCCAGCAAATCTGTTCGTAAAGCCACTCAGAGCGAGTGAGCGGTGTGATTGACATGTTTGTGTTTTTTCATTCTTGATGAGCAGCAGTGACCGTTACAAGAGGAAAAACATGCAGAACATCAGAGCGATGGAGAGCAGCTCCCAGTTGGCGTTTGCAAGCTGCCATGTTGTTACCTTCATCTGTCGTCAAGGCCGGGCTCCTTTTCAATGGCGCACAATTACACACACACTCGCACAGACACAAACACTGACAACTCAAAATAATCTGCCTCCATAGAAATTCATGTGACCAGCCAATAAAGTCATTCAGATGTTTTTTTTAATTTTTCTAGAAAAATATTTTTACATTATAAAACACAGCTTAAAATATACACAGTCCACTCGGTTATGCAATAACTGCAGAACCCTTCAACTCACATATATCAGTCTATAGGTAAATATATCTTTACAGCAAGAATAAATTCCAGGGACCAAGTTGTTACTTATTCAGAAGGAGCTAGGGGTGATACATCGGCCGACAGTCCAACAAAGTCTCTATAAACTAAAGGCCTGGTCAAAGCAATGTTAAATAAACAGGATTATCTCATCCGAATTTGATACAAAAGATGCAACTAAACCAAGAACAGGGAATGCTTCTGAACCAGAGGTGGGAATGATCAAACCATTGGAATACGTACATGAGCAGCAGTTCCTCACTTCAGAGTACAGTCGAGAGAAGGAAACTGGTGCTGACAGAGTCCATCCACCTACACATCCAACTATCCTCAAGGCTTCTCACAGTAAAAAAAAGTTTGCAAACTGAATGTTAGTGGTGCATACAGCAAAGCAAACAAACATTACGTGTATAACTTCCAATTAAAGTTACTCTGGAAAATCCACAGACTTAGTTTTAAACTATTTTTCGTTGGAACTAGTTTCAAAGGAGGAATTCATCGCGATGAGTTCCTGTGGATCATCCAGAGTAACACTGATATTGTTTTTGCAAAAGATACACTGTAGTTTTTCCAGATGTAATGTTTTCAGTGGTGAACTGCACAAATATATTCTTTCACCTCCTTATTGAGATGGAGGCAGAACCTATTACATAATAGTCAAACCATCTGTATGGCTAGTTACTACTAGAGGTGTGTGAAAATAGGATTTGGAGTTAATTTTCAAAATTCAAGATTAACTTTATTATTATTCATACTATTCACAGGGCAAGTGCACAGCAGAATTAAATAATAGCGTCATAAAAAAATGCTAACAATATGTTAAGTTTTTAACTAATATTGGTTAACTGTACCTTGTAATAAAGCATCTGCTTTAATTTCATAAAATAGGCAACAGTGTGTGTGTGTGTGTGTGTTGGTACGCTGTTCACCTTTGCACCTGCCTAAATCCTAGGACGTTTAACTTGTCTGTATATGAGGCATTGCAGCTGTAAACCTGCTACACATGAAGACAAACAATTACGCTTGGTGCATTTGCAAAACAGTTCTATAACCTGTAATATTTTTCCTTCCACATATGAGGCAGTTTGACCGTTCAGTAAAACACTTTGTAAAGCATGTGCGGGTTGATGACTACTTCAGTGCCCACCAAATGACCTGTAAAATAAATAACAAAATAAGCACAAAAGGATACCAAAGATATCGTAAGAAGATGCTTCCACTGAGCTGGCTACTGGCCCTTCACTCATCAGCTCATGCTGATTTTCGTCCCGTGCTTTGGCATCATAGCGGTTCTGAGCGGAGGGCCAGCGAGAGCGTCCAGAGAGGTGGCAGCAGCCACAGGGGGGAGCAGGAGGGGCGCGCTCCGAAAGGCGAGGCGGTGTCAGAGGTGCAGGAGCACACCTCGTATCCGTTCTCCGCGTGGTCCGGCTGATGGTGCACGTTGACTCTCGTCTCCGTGCTTTTGGGCTCCGTGTCCGGAGAGTCCGACTGCATCTCGGTGCACAGCAGCCAGTCTGTAGCGATGAGGCGGGGGTATCCGGCCTCCGCCTCCATGTCGCTGCTCGGCACTCGCCAGTACTCCTTCCCCTTGAAGAAATAGGATGAGCCTTCAGAGAGAGAGAGAGAGAGAGAGAGAGAGAGAGAGAGAGAGAGAGAGA